AGCCGTACGGATCTGCCTCATTGTCGACTAATCCATCCTCATCCTCGACAACCTCGTGTCTGATCTTCGAAGCCTTGAGGGCAACGCGAGTGCTAGGACAATAGCCGCACTTGCGTGCTGCAGCCGCGATGTGATCTGCATCCGTTGCTTGAGCGAAAGCATCGTCCAACTCTAGAGTTGATCCATCAATCATTGTGGCCTTACCGCCAAAGACCAACATACCAATGTCAGCCATCGATAGAGCTGCCTTTTCTCCTTCCAATCGGTACCTCGCAGACCAAAGCTTGTCCCTATTCAAATAAACGAGCTTCTTCAATAGTGAAAAGAGTTGATGACACTCTTGGCCAGTCTCCGTGCCGTTTGGTAGACCGGGGTGTAGATAACAACCTCTTGACCGTAACATTCGAAGGCAATCAGGGTTGTTACGTCCAGGTCCAGAGTCAGTCTTTATAAGAAGACGTTGCGGCATGCGGTCAGCCGCATCTGGATAAAGTGGTAGCACACAAGTCTTGAAAAGGCTCGGAGCATCTCTTTCGTCATTCCACCTTTCTTGTTGATGGCAAATGGGACGTTGTGTCAACGGCACTGCTTGAAGCCAAACCGAGCTTCGATTTGTGGAAGAGAGGCAGCAAACTCACCTCGGTGTTTGTAGTTATTTGGATCGTTTGCCTTGCTTGGAAAGATGAACAAAGGAGGCAACACTTCATTGGCAAAATTCATTCCAAACATAAGCGTCATCTTTGCTCCACTCTTTTCAACAGCCTTTCCGGCATTGCCCATACCCTTGGAGGTGGGTATTCGCGACTCCCTGCCACCAATAGAAGCATCTGATCCATCAAGGGCAATGCACATCTCATCAAATTGGAGGACACGATGGAGTTGATCATTGTCCCACACAATGTAACCATCTTCCTCCGGATTCTCTGTCAGTTCGAGCTCTCGCGCAAAGCCAAGCTCAACAGCAGTCTTCTCCCAATTGATGTAGTGCTTTAATTGGGCTTGGTATGCCAACCAAAGTACTCGAAGGGACTCTCGAGTGTCAGCCTTCTCTATAGTCCCTCGTGTCGGTGATTCTCCAAATGGAGCTAGCTACCTCCTCCATTTGGAGCTCTCACTCAAATGGCCACAACTAAGTCAATTCTTGGCCGATTCCGCTCATCTTTGAACCATTAAGACGTCTTATACTTTAACTTGATGAATATAGCAGGTCTCCACTACAGGCATTGAGATAGCCACAGAGAAGTGGAACAAGGCGCAACATAACCGCCATGGTGCCAAAATGGAGCTATCTCCATTTGGTGATTCGCCACAGAGGTGGCTACAATGGCATCTCCAAACATCAGACTGTCCCCTCAATGATGCCAAAGTGTGCCAGTGCCTGTGTGGCAAGTCAAGAGGTCGGTTAGTGGCTCCGTGGCAAGCTGAGGAGGCGACGGGTGTGGAGGTATCTCCAAAAGAGCCTTACCTACTATTCTCCGTCTTCTTCGAAGTCATCGTCACCATCCAAAGCAGCCAGCAGCTCCTCTTTGAAAGCAAGACAATCACTAAGCTTGTTGTGGCAGTCACCAACCTTTACAATCATCTGAATGACCTCCAAGCGTTCATCGTTGTCGTTGAAGTTGATTCGGAGAAGCAAATGTTTGGCTTGGCTCTTTTCGCTCAGCCCCTGCTTGTAAAGCTGTGTGTAAATGCAGTCCAAGGGAAGCAGCACTGGACCTTCGAACGCTTCACCTTTCGTTGCGATCTCCTTTTCCTTGTCCCTCACATTGACGAAGCCACACACGTAGAGTTGGTGTAGATGAGTGGATCCAAACTGCTCCAAATTGAGGTTGCCTTGCACGTGATGATGCATCGGATGGTTGAAGTGTTTGAAACGTAAAGACACTCCAATCAGTGGACCCACTGGAGCTCCGTTGCTGTCAGTGATGGGGATCCAACTATGAGTGTCGCTCACTTGACTTTCCTCCTCTGGTGTCGAAGCGGACGCCATGGTGATGGGCTTTTCCTGTGAGACAAGCTTTCTGTTTCGACAGTAAGAAAGAGCGACCTCATTCAAATACTCTTGGGCAAAGTGAGTTAATAGGGAGCCAAGCCCGACAAAGCAAATCTTCATGCAGGCAAGAAGAGTCATACCAAGAGCAGAAATGAAACTTCCACATGCTGGTGCGACCCAGCTGACGGCAACAGCAGCAACAGATACAGCGTCAATCGACAACAACATGGCTTCCGCGAGTCAACAAGCAGCAAAGGTAGGAGTGAGCGACAAATGAGATAACAGCAATCACAGTACTGAATTTGGCGGGCTGTGGTCCGACTTACTCTCAGCAACAAGGTTCAACAGAGATGAAGCTTTCTTTATATAGTCCAATTCAAATAGAATTTTCCTTCCCTCAAAAAGCTGGGAACGTTCGGCGCCAACGAGTAGCAACAGTTGGAGTGGCCAAATCCAATGCAATCAAACCAAACAACAGCAATCGATTGCTCCCATTATCCAGCATCAAGCTGAAACCAAAGCATGTCTCTCCGAGTTGTCGATCCTGCCAATGTTATCCTCTGCTATGAGGACAGCGGTAATCAGACTTACTTCAAACTCAATGTAAAGATCAAAGATCCACGATGGTGGTTTTCAGTTCTCAGTTGCCCAAGCAGCCTTCCATGAGATCGTAACCATCATCCCCAGGCAGGCCGATGCTCCAGCTACCGTTCCAGCTACCGCTCCAGCTACCGCTCCAGCTACCGCTCCAGCTACCGCTCCAGCTACCGCTCCAGCTACCGCTCCAAGCAATAGTAACACAGTGGACTTGAACACGTCCGTCGAGAGCAACAACTCCTCGTCAACCGAGTCGGTTCTTGATTTGCTTGGGGAGGAGACTGAGGAATCCTCCGAATCCGAAGACGATGCTCGGATTCAAGCCACCGCCACCAACCGTCGTGCTGTGGATCACGCTTCTGAAGACTAATCCACCGACGACAAAGCCTCCGAAGACGATGCTCGGATTCAAGCCGCTGTCGCCTCCAACCGTCGTCGTGCTATGGCTCGCGCATCGGCCAACACTCGCACTTCAGCCAACACTCGTGCTACTACCAACACCCATACCACCGCTGCCCGTAGAAACAATCATTGTAGCCAATGCCGTGCCAGTGTTCCCAAGCCAGAGCTTCAGGATGATGGAGAGCTCGAAACATTCCCTTGCTCCCAGGATTTCTTCCCTGAGTATCATGATTGATTAAACAGCCAGGAAATTTACGCAGTTCTGGAGGAAACAAGATGGGATGACAGTAGTGGTAACAAGTAATAGCAAGCATATTGATTGGTAACTACTGTTGTCTACCGCCATTGCCAACCACTTGCCTTTGGATCGTTTCAGCTGGAGTCTTCGACGATTTGGATTTCGCTGGCCGCACCAACACCACTGCACGAAAATAGGCATTTCCTGTTATCGATCAACCATCCTGTGATTGATCGACCATGAACAATCAGCAGGCTCCGGCACCAGCAGACTATGCTGCTCCTATTCGTCGCATGCATCGCCGTGCACATCGTGAAAGGCAGAGGCTGGAAAGGCGCCACAATGCAAGAGCCGACAACAAGGCAGTTGGACCTTTCGGTGGCCGATTGCCTCCAATTCCTCCGCTGCCACCTCCCATCCAAAGGCTGCAACATGCTCAGCTGCAGTTCAATCCATTGCCAGACTTCATGGGAGGCGAAGGCAGTGGCGCTTATCGAGGCTGGAAGACAGTGAAGCAGATCATCACCACCGATGCTGGGTCACCGCTTCCACGAAAGTGGCTGGTTCTTGAGCTTCCAGCTCGGATGCCGTCATTTCTTCAAGGCCGTGAATTCATGCTCTGGCCCACCATTTTCCCATCTGGTTGGGTCGACACGTACCGTGCTGGAGGCCAGCTCATTGTTTCGAGTGATCCTCTCATCCCTCCAAGAGTCTACGTTGGCAACTTTGTGGAAGATTGGGATGAAGACGAAGAAGAGTCGACACGAGTCTGGCTCCTGCACCCCCTCAACCTCCTCTGAATGGAGGATCATTGTTTGATCTTGACTGCGGATCTGGGCCATCAATTGAAGTGGCGAGCTGACATCTTTTAGATTTGGGCCGATCTGTTGCTGCTTTGGATTTGCCTCCGACTGAAGGCGCCCAGTTGGGCAAGCGTTCGAGGGTGGAATATGAAGCTGTGGTTGGGTTGCTTGCTTTTGCCAAGACCTGAACAACAAAGAACAACAACGTCAGCGAAAAAGAACGGACGTCAGTCAAAGAAGAAGCTCCCCAGCACAACTATTAACTCACTCACCACAATCAACACCTATCGCACTGGTTGGCAAGTGCACTGCTATATAGCTAGCACTGTTTAAAATCTATTAGAATACCATCTTATCGACAGCGGCTGAGCTCCGATCTTTGTGCCATGTTCGAAGAGGAGTGGTTGAGCTGAAGATTGAAGCAGAAAGAATAAGAAAGATCCGCGGGTTGCTTGTGAACTTTCGAAATAGAGTCGTTGAAAGACCCCACCATTACTATCGAAAAAAGAGTAGTTTGGGTCTGTGACCGGAGTGAAAAACAACCAGCCGAGCCAAAGGCACTCCAACCGAGCTTCACCACATGGAGTGAGGCAAGATGTTGCTCTTCTCTCAAGTTTTGTCGATGAATACATTGATAAACCTAAGACAAGATGGCTGGCCACTTTACTATAGTCAACAGGAAATTTCCGAGGCCAGCTCTGCTCTCTATCCACCAGATTCATCGGTTGTGGCTCCTCTCCGAGCATTCGGTGCCACCACAACAATCCACAGTTTGGTCTGATTTCAACGATTGATTTGACGATGGCAAAGGAGTGCAAACCAAACTTTACCGCCGGTATATGGGTGAAAGAGAGCCAAGCCTCAGAGGCGAGGGCAGATTGTGTGGCACGATCGAGTGGACGGCAAGAAATACACTTGGTTAGTTTGCTTTGAGAATTCGGATGGAACGACTGTAGAGGTTATCAAGATGTCTTTACAGCTTTTTCATACTGATCAACCACCAACTGAAGCACCACCACCACCAGCAGCAGCAGCGCAAGAACCAACAACAGAAGCAGCGGTGGCCGCCGCAGTCCCAACCCAAAACAACAAAAACCGAATACCAGATCGCCACCCAACACGACGGGCTGCAGCCAACCACAAAGTCTGTCCAACAACCCCAGCACCACCGTCCCCATCCACAGCAGCCACGGAGCAGTTGACGGGACCTGACTATGATTGGACAAAGCACCTACCAAGCAACCAATCTGACGACTCTTCGTCGAGTGTAGGAGGGTTTCCTATTCGCAGTGACAGTGACAACGATTCGACGAATTCAGAGGGAAACAACTCAAGTGAATCGACCCCCCCCCAGCAGCTGTTGCAACAGCCAGCGAGCCAGCACTCGAAGCAGAGAAACAGGTCGAAGAAGATTTGATTCCAAGTGATGAGCGTGACTTCGAGTACGAAGAGGAGCAACATGAGAAGATGCTCATTTACCACCGGGAGAAGAAGGAACTCCTTGACTCTGAGTGGTCAGTTGATTTCGTGCCAGACAAACCTCCGATGTGACCCAAGGCGAGAGTCAAGACCAGGACGAAGCATCCACGCTACGGTACGATCCTTCGAAAAGCCGACGATGGAATCAAATGGGTGGTTCAATTTGAGGACGGCTCCAATCCTGTGAATCTCTCATCGCACTCCCTCACTCAAATTTGGGAGCCAGAACCATACGTGTGGAAGATAGTGGAAACCTCAGATCCTGATGTTTATGTTGAAGACTACAAACAGATTGGTCTTGTCGGGTTTGACTTTGGCCAATTCGACGCTGAGAAAGTCAGAAAGGATAACAAGCACTACGCCTACCCTTTTGAAGCTGCTTCAGTTCTTGTGGCCTGGCGACCCCAAGCCGCAACGAAGACAAATGAACCAACGAATTGATGTTGTTAATGAGGAGCGAAAGAAGAAGAACCCGAAGAATCCAAACTTGATGCGCAAGCTCTCCAAGCACGAGTTCTGGAAATTTGTTGGCGTTTTCTGTTCTGCGGCGGCGTACCGTGTTGGTGGTCATGAGCTCTTTGAACAGGAAAAGCACCGAAGAGAGTGGACTATCACGGAGCCAATCAACCTTGGCATCAATGGAGAGGAGCTAATGCCATTCTATCGCTTCAAAGATATCAAGGCTGTTTTCCCATGGGGATTTCAAGACAAGCAGGCCGAGTCGAATGGAGATCCATGGCACATGACACGAGGGATTGTTGATGGTTACAATGAGAAGAGGAAGAAGTGGATTGCTGCTTCCAAGTTCAAAGTCTTTGATGAAACCATGAGCTCCTTCAGGCCACAGAGCAGTCGCTATGGAAACCTTCCTCACCTCTCCTACATTGAGAGGAAGCCTGAGCCACTGGGAACAGAGTTCAAGACTGTGGCTTGTACCAAGACAGGAGTCATTATCCACGCTGAAATCCAGGAAGGAGCCCTACTGATGAGAGAAAAGGGATTCTCGGATCAGTTTGTTGGTGTTCAATCGGCCTGTACAGTGCGCGCCTTCTTGATGCAACAAAGCACTGTGGAAGCAAGCATCCAGAGCGAAAAGCAGCCTCAAACGAGGGTGCAGGCGAAATCTTCAGGGGTGATTCATGGTTCACAAGTGTGCCGGCAGTTGAGTGGATGGCAGAGCAAGGCCATGAGTACATTGGAATGATGAAAACAGCCACCAAGTACTACCCAAACACAGAGCTCCACGCAAAGATGAAGGATTGGCCGAGTGGATCCTCCTTGGTGATGGAATGTGTCTCCCCAATTACAGGCGACACTCTTCTTGCAATCGGAACGGGAGGAGGTCTTGTGCCTGCTTGCAACCAAGAATGCAGGATCTACCCAGCCAGGAGATCCCTACATTGCGCGCTTCTCAGATTCCGTTGGCAACCTTTGCGAGAGGAAAGTGGAGAGGCCTTCCGTCGTTTCAGACTACTTCAATGACAGCAATGCCATCGACGTCCACAACCAAACACGACAAGGAATTCTGAAGCTGGAGAAACGATGGATAACAAGGGATGGGTGGTTCCGAATTGCAACGACGATGATTTGGATGACTGTAAGCAAGCGTTTGGCTAGCACACATCTAAGAAGCGCATAATGGGGTGTCGCGAAAACAGCGAGGTCTGGAAGGTACCGAACGACATGCGTCCCTAGGCGATTGGTGACGCCATTGCTCCCGGATTGGATGGTGTTTGTTGTGGAACATGTACTGGGTTCTCCATTGGGTGTGGCAGTATGCACCGTTTTGGAACCCTGCATGCATCCTAAATTCCCAACCCCATAGGTACCGACCAATTTTGTGGTCCCATTTTGTCCCCTATGCCATACCAATGAACATGGAAACTACATACAGAATCCGGTACAGAGCAGTTTGGGGGTTAGCTTTTGGTAACCACACTCACATTTTGTAAGGTCGTGTAGACTTTGCCTAAGGTATTACAGTTCCTTTATACGGGCTAGCGATCGGCAATTACTACTAGCTAGCTACTACTACTACTAGTTGTATCATGGGTTATTGGTATTGCGACTACTGTAAAGCTTGGTTTGAAAGCAAGAGGGCACTAAGTGCTCACACCAACCAATCTCGGAGTTGCATTGCAGCAAGGCAGATTTCACTTGGCATTGGCAAAGCAACAAGAAGTACTAGTACTAGGAGAAAAAGGGACATGACTACTGCAGGGCTTGGTGCCACTGACACTGGAAGACCCGCTAAAGCACCACGGCAAGTTAGAAGATCTGCAGGAGAGGAGAGAGGCACATCAAGTCAAATGCCAGCCATTCCACAAGACATGGTGGAGGAAGATCAAATTGCTTGGGCCATGCAAGATGGTGGTGGTATTGGTTCTGAAAGCGAGGAAGACAATAGAAAACCAGCAGCTGACCCGCGGTTTGGTACCCGAGATGACGGCAATGAGGAAGCAAAAGAGGAGGCAGATGAGGAAGCCATAGAGGAAACTGATGAGGAAGGAAGTGACGACGATTCGCAAGAAGACACAGATGATGATGATAGTAATGAAGATGATGATGAGACCAGCAGTGGTGGATCAACAGCTACCCTGGTACAAATTCCCAAGGAATGGAACCATGACAATGAACCTCCAGACGATAGGAACATCAACCAATTGCGGCAATATTGTTCAGATTCAAAGAAGACGTTCCTCCCCTTGGATAAGAAACAGGCTCGGGGTATCAAATTGATGGATATCCTTCGAAAGAACAAGGCGCCTTTGACTGCGTATGATGATGTGTTGACATGGCACTTGGATGAAACTGGAGCCCGATTGGGTGACGAGAAGCTTGGTGAGGTTCCGGAGTACTTGAGCCGGAAAAAGTTGATGAGCTTCCTCATGACAAGATACAACATGGGTGGCAAATTCCCTTCACAAAAGACCTTGTGCTTCCACATTCAGGTGCTAACATCAAGGTGGTGTGCCACGATGCTCGCCATTGTGTGTGGCAATTGCTTGCCGATCCACGCCTCAAGGACGACAATTTCTGCTTTTTCGATAATGATCCACTAGCTCCACCACCTAAAACGAGTACCAAAATCAGTCAGTTGAACACTGGTGAGGCGTACCGCAATTGTTACAAGGCATACGTTACCAATCCCCGCCCCCGAAAGCAAATGGGAATCGGCATCCAAGGTGTATATTGATGGGGCAGTGACAGGCCAGTTCCAAACCCTTTCGATAACTGCGCTGAAGATGTCTCTCTCTTGTTTCTCCCGGGAATATCGAAGGAAGGATCAGGCATGGGCCACTCTTGGATATGTTGTCAACTACTCGGCAGGCAAATCCAAAGGAAAGAAGAATATTTGACGACTCGAAACTATGATCAAGCAGTTCTGGAATTCCTGAATTTCGAAGGTTTTCTTCCCAATGAGGGGGGGAGACAAACAAAAGTCGTGAAGGCACAGGACTTCCATCACCAAATTGATACCATCTTGCACTCTTACGTAACCATCAAAACAACTGGGATGATATGGGATCTCCATTACAGAGGAAAGCTCTTCCGAAACAAGACGCTGGTATTCTGGACTGCAATGGTGAAGGCTGACACCGATGAGGCAGAACTGCTTTGTGGAAAGTATAGAAGCCGGTTTGGGCAATGTTAAGATGAATTTGTCGATACTGCAACGTTCCAACTCTTGACTGCAACAACCACATTGATACTTACACAGCAAAGACACTGACAATCATCCAAGAACTCATCGGCGCCAAGGACAAGAAAGGAATGCAAGCAATTTCCCAGCCTCTGATTGACAATGCATGGGATAAGGTCAGATTCGATCACAAGTACGATACTGGAATCCATGGTGCTTTGCCCCTCTTGAGAGCTTCCAGCTTGTTGTTGGGTATCTTTTGTATACGAGAGAGAGCTTCTTTGCCCAGAATTGCCCAAACCTCAGCAGGAGGCCCAAGGAGATTGATGCATTGGCATCACAATATAGGCAACTCTTCTCCCATAACTCTGAACGGAGCATCACAGGATGCAAGTTCACCCATGGAATCAGGCAGAAGAAGAAACTGATGGCTAACGAGTACAGTGGCGTTTTGCTACTCATCGCTGCTGTATTGAGATCCAACAAGGGTATCGAAATAATAAGGAAAAGCCAAAATTTCGAGACACAACAGCTCCGAAAGTACTGGTTGAGGCTGGTGGAAATGCTCTTGGAATGGGAGGCATTCCTGAATGAACCAGAGATGGATGTTAAAACAGTCAAGCGCCTGAAGAAGAAACATCGCTTTATCATGTACCTATTGAAGAAAGTGTTGAGGAGAGCCACAGGAATGGGTTTGAAAATTGATGAAGTTTCACGCCATAATGCGCATGGCAAATGATATCCTTTTGTATGGCATACCTAAGGAACACGACACTGGATCTAACGAAAGTGGCCACAAAGTGACCAAAGTGGGAGCACGGCTCACCCAAAAAAACATGGCAACCTTCGAATTGCAGGCAGCTACCCGGTTGCTTGAATTTATGTTCATTAAGTGGGCAATGGCTGAGCTGGATGGTCTTCGATTGTGGAGTACTATGGAGATTACGAGTCAATGGGTGTCGATGATGATGGTGGCGAGAACGAGGATGAGGACGAGAACCCGGATAATAATGATGGCAGCAAGAATCAGCAAGGTGTGGTGCAGCTATGACAAAGTAGCGACGGAGGACTCGGTATGATAGTGAGCCCAATGCAGATAGGGAGGAAGATGGTGATGGAGAGGAATCGGAGCCGAATGCAGATAGGGAGGAAGATAGTGATGGAGAGGAATCGGAGCCGAATGCAGATAGGAAGAAAGGTAGCGATGGAGATGAATCGGAGCCGAATGTAGGTAGGAAGGAAGGTAGTGATGGAGATGAATAGGAGCCAAAAACCTGGACTGGAGGCAGAATATT